CGGCCTTTATACGACAGGGCCTCATGCCCGTCGCTCCCCACTTCCCCACTGTCGTCATTACCATCCGCGCCCTCGAGATATTTCGGCTCATGCAGCTGCGCTGTCCCCGGCTCGGAATCCAGCCATTTGTTCGCGCACTCTGCGACCTACATGGTGTACCCCCACGCCCATACCTCGCCGTGCAGTTCTCTGTCGCATTTGACGTGTACCTTGCGATTCGCGGTGTGGTCGACAAACGTGTACAAGTTGCGCTTGGCCGCGACACTCCCGACTGGCGGCTGAAGAATGCATGCCCGGCATGCTTCTACACACTGGAGGGCGAGGAGAAGCTCCTCATTCCTGTGCTGGCTTGCATCGACGGCAACAACTCACTGAAGCGGTTCTGGAAACGGACTCGCGAGGATATTTTGCCCGATGGCTCAACTATTCCGGGGATTTCAAAAGAGCGGCAGGACGACCGCGTGCCCCCAGGCGACTATTATTTGAAGCGGGAGGAAGTGGACAAGTGGGCAAAGGAGGGCGTGGATGATTTGATGAAGGGGCACGGTGATTCGGACTGGGACGAGGACGCTGATGGATGCTCGGAGAAGTGGCAAAATATGAAGGAGGAAGTCACGGCGCGCGCATTGGGGATGTACGACGAGACGGGGTTCTTTCCCGCTCTCTGTCGGCATGGATTTGTCCTCATCGTCACCGACATGGTGAAAAGCGGAGAACTGTACGTCCTCAACTACCCTTGCATTTCCTCTGCTGACACATCTGCTAGTGCAAAGTACGGATACGCAATCACAAATCATTTAATCCGGGTGCTGGGCGAGCTTGCCCTTGGCTACGATATAGGCTGCAAGTTCCACAAGATGGTCAGGACCCACCCCCGGCTCGCAAAATTAGCGGCCGACAACAACTTCAAGGCTCTTGTGGGGGCATTCCACGGACACGCCCATTGCCGCCGCTGTCAACTCGAAAACCTCGCCACCTACATTCGGGGTCTTGGCTTGGAGGATCTCGAAATCTGCGAGACGTTCTTCTCCAAGTCGAACGCCTTGGCCTCCACGACACGCTACGCAACGGCGTTCCACCGACAGCAAGCGATAACGACGTACCTGAAGCACACGGACTCATTTGACACGTATCAAGGCCTTTGTAAGTCCTATCCCTCCCTACGGCCTTCCCTTCGCTGATGGCTTCTGACCCGCAGCTCTATTGCTCTGCAACAAATACCGACGTGCTCTCAGAATCAAGGCGACGCTACCTGCATTGCAAGAGACAATGGCACGCCTCGGTGTCGAGACACGGGACGTATTCGAGGAGTGGCTCGAGAAGGAGAAGGTCTACCTGCGCTCGCTGTCGAAGGAGCCTCTGCAGGAAACCCTAGAGATGGAATACTACCAGAAGTTAGTAAACCTGCGGGATAGCGAGTACGTCCCTCATTTCATTGATACAGAGATGCCTTTACTAACGTGCTCTTGACAGAGATCAGCTAACTGCAGTGCTCGGAGTAGAGCTGCCACCGCTGCTTGCGCAAACAGATGCGTATTACCAAGAAGCAGCCACGCAGACCCGCCGCATCGAGACCCAGCGACGCCATGCGCTCGAGATCTGCGCTAAGGCCTTGGCTGCCGTGCACAATCTCGAGCGGCGGCTGGACATCACAGAGCGCTGGGAATGTGGTGGCGATAAATGGCTTGCCACATGTGAGCTCGTCAGCAAGCGACGCTACCAGCGTACCCTTGATGAGCTTGAGGGGCTCATCGTCGCGAGGATGTTTGAGCTCACAAAGGTCCACATGTCCGGTACAGGTCGGTTCTTCTCCCTGCTCCCTCAGTCGCCGCCTCTGATGATTCGATGACAGGCTACAAGCTTCGAAAGCACATTGCGAAGGCCCTTCAAGCACGGTCAAAGGGTGTGAAGGCCGCGATATCCAGGTACAACGACGCCGCCGCCGACATGACACCGCCGAGGATCCACCTCACCTGGGAGCAGGTGGTCGAGTACGCCTTTTTGGCAGACTTCGATCTTCTGCGTGATGGGAGGCAAGACATACGACAGGAGCCGTGGGCCCTGCCAGCGGGTCGCGTGGCAATGGATCAGCATTTTAAGTTGCTGCGCGCTGACGAGGAAATCGAGCGACTCAATCTCGAGATCCCTCGTCTCATCACACACATGGTGGATGAAGAGCACTTCCTCTACCATCACGAGAAGCGCTTGCGGCGGGAAGGGGATTTGGGGCTTGCGTACCAGGTCGCACTGCACAGGATGGAGCGCGGACGCTTCAACGCTGTGCACATGGTACGACTGGTGAAGCTCAGCAAGGAGCCAGGCTTCACCGCCTCCATCCTCCCCGGCGTCAGTGTCTGCAAGGATCGGCATGTCCCGAGGGATGTAGATGTGGATGTGGATATGGATGCGCCGCCAGTGACGCCGCCCACTGCCAACGACGACAACGACGCAGATGAAGATGTAGATGAAGATGCCCTCACCGAGGCCATAGCGCACATCATGCGCATCACCGCGGACTAATAGCACACATATATTTTATTAAATTGTATTTTATATAGTCCATGGCTTGATATGTGCATTAAAACCGGGGGAACTGCTGGGAACATGGGTTAGGATGCAGTACAATTAATCTCAGGATTTTATGGCCATTTCCGAGGCCGGGACGGGCACTTTGGGCGGGGGCGGCGCGATAATTGATGGCATTGATGGAATTGATGACGCGCCTCGGGAACAACATTCAGCGGCAAGTTCGGCGGGAACTAATGAATGAAATGATAGCTAACTACAGTAGGAGCATCCCCTATTATTTACACGATTTTAAGACTATTTATAAGGCCAAAACGGACAAGGTGGGCGGGGGGCGGGCGGGATAATTGATGGCTTGATGGTGCGCCTCGCGACGAGTGCCCCCGCCCATTCCCTGATGGCGTTGATGGGAAGGTAACAGGCGGCGGGCGTCACTAACGCTATTTAACGCTAATAGCTCTAAGATAAATAAATAGCTAACAGTTAATTAGCGAAAGCTCGACAATTAACCCTAAATACCTCTTCTTAGAGGGGGAGAACCATCACATCTCCCCCTCTATGTAGGGGGGTATCTTGGGCTATATAGGTGATTTTCGCCCACCCACGATAGCCGGACGGGTATGTACATACACATGGGCGTCTACGTGGCAGATAAAATATATGTAGGACGTGTGTTGAACACATCGAATGAGTCATGATCCCGGTTGAGGCATGGTTGGAAACTGGGTGTTGGGACTTGGAGAGTAAGTAGAAATAAAATGTTTTGGGAGGAGAAGGAATATTGAATGAGCGAATCGGAAAGTGAGGTCAAGAAATCGTATTTGGAATCTGACCTAATGAAAATCACTCCGAAGTCGGAACCAACCCACTTACTGGCTGAACATCCTGCCAAAAAACCGCGCAGGATCAAAGTTAGCTTGGTCACAGGTGATGTTGAAGTTCTGCGCAAGCTGAACTTCTTATGAATTGTATGTGTGGGTCCTATACGGAGAGCCTTGACCCCAGACCTTCGATGAACTGATTAATTCCCTAATAGAAATTGTGTCAACTACTTGCAATGCGTAGATGCGTAGATTTTTCAGTGTTTCTCGCGCCTGTACACTTAGCACTGATTTTTCAACCATACTGGCTGGGGAGAAGAGAAGAGATTGGTCTGACCTTTACACCTACATACATCATGTGAATCATTCCTCTCCCGCCTGTTTCACCTCCTCCTCCTCCTCCTCGTTAAGAGGTTGCGCAGACTACCTTTTAAACACCGGCTTTCTGATCTCGGCCGTGGCTATGCTCCTTGGTTCAAAGCTTGTCTTACCGTAATCTAGCATGGGCGTTCGCAAACGGACATATGATCAATATATCTATCCTAACAATATTCTGCAGGCGTGATGCCTCCCTATTCTTTGGGTAAAACTTCGATTCGGGAGGATGCCCCTATCTTGCACCCTGTTCCTGGTCACTTCCGCGGAACCAGCTACCATCAGAGACACTTGCAGGTATTAAAGGCTTGACTTTCTCCTATAAAACCCCACATCACCCCCAGGACTCTAACACACACTCACCTCAAAAACCATCCTCCCTCACGATGGCGACCTTCAGTAGCACCTCCATCACCTCCGAAAGGCGCTCGTCCAAACGCCCCTCGCTCATCTCGCTCGCATCCCTCACATCCATCGCATCGATAGACAGTTGCGTGCCATTTGGCACAGACGACAACCCTATCGTCGTCACCACCACCATCTCGACCACGAGCCGAACCTACCCCGCAACCGTACCACCACCCTTTGCCACTTCACGCGGGTCGGACGACATTCTCCCCCGGCCACGCCGTGGGGCGCCTCCGGTCGCACCGGCTAAAAGTGCCGCGGAGTGCAAGCAGAAGGGCGGTGTCGCACGCACGCTGCGGCGCGCCGTTGGTTTTCAGCGCACTCGGTTGGACCCTGCACTGTGCAAGGAATGGTGGTAAGCATTTTATTTTATCGTTCTCCTGCTTGATACTGACCCTTCTACTAGATGGAACGAATCGACGCCAATTTACTCGTGAAATCTTCGGACATGTATGACCAAAAACCTCTTGACTTGTACCACCACATCATGAATTTCACGGCCACCATTGCACGACTGTGCACTCACACCATATCACGCCGATTTGATTTGTATTCCTAGTTCAAATTTAAAAAAAATTACGGTTGCCCCCCCGTCACTCCACCCACCTGTCGCATCGCAGTCTGTGGAAGTCAGTGTTTCACGTAGAACACGGAGGCGACGCTGAATGGATTCAGGCTATCAAGCTTCGAGAAGCATTTATCCCTGAGTCGAAAATACCAACATTAATTTTCCTCCTCATCGAAACTCTAGTACATCATAGAACTGGTTAATCCCTGCTTATGGACAGAGCGACCAGATATCTGAGCCGCAAATTCTGTGATAGTTGCTGTCGACCTGTGGTATGCAGCATACTACCAGTCTCATTTAACAGCACCGTAGCACAGCTGGAAGTGCGCCGGTCTCATATCTCGTCCCAACGATTTAGAGAAATCCGGAGGTCGCTTGATCGAAACAAGCCGTTGCTATCTTTTTCTCTCCACAGAAAAATCAGTGACTCACGGCAAGGAAACTCGAGTCATAACTTGACCCACTCACGTGAACGCAAGGCCGTACCCTGGCTCCGAATTGTATCTAGATGGGAAGCCGAACCTACGATTGATTTTTGTGCGGTTCATGCTAGCTTCACTTCGATGCGAGTACTCAAGGAGGGTAATATGAGCCCATAGTTGTCATTGTTTACGCGTTGTCGACGCGACGGTCACGTGTATACCGCGGACCTCAAATAAAATTTCAAGCCCATGGTTTCATATTTTGTAGGCTTCTATTAGAGTGTATGGGCCCGCGCGTGCTCGAAATAAATTTTGGTGGCCTCCAGAAACTACTCCTCAGACTTAATATCAATGATAAGGCCCTCGCAAAATATGAATGCAAGCAAGGTTTAAGGAAGCCGAGCCCAGTCATTCAGACTGATTCTGCAGAAACAATTCATGTTGATTTTGGGCAAAGGAGCCACCCGCAGACCGAAACGACTTTTTAATCTTTTTCCACTTGAGGCTGATCGGCGTCGACTTTCGTCTCATTCTTCCTGGATCAGATTTCAAGGCTCCGGTTGAGTTCAGGGCCGGAACAAAAGCATAGAAAACGAGTCAAACATTGATCATATTGATTAGCCTGAAGTTCAAACAAAAGTGCGAGCCTCGAGGAGGTGATACGGTTCAATACTTGTGGTTATTTACATCATCACGTCGCGAGGTGTCAGTCACGTGGCGGAGTACGGCGAAGCCTAGCGTATATTTTTGTCGCAAAACGCGATTCCCTCGTTTCCTGAATCACAGGGCCCTAATATGGTTCTCCTTCAAAAATCAGGCAGCTACATCGAACATTAATATTGGAATTTATTCGACCCCGCTTCGACTTGGTCACCTTTTTGGAGGTTGTAACGGCAGCAACTGCCTTCAATGTGCACCCTGATATTGAAAAACAATAAGATTCCTATATTGAGACACGTTTACAAAAGAATCAACAATTCTTCAGACGGTGGATATTCTGCTCTCCAAACCCGCAATGAAAGACAACGGAATGATCCCATTCCGCGGGACTCCACCCTTGTTCAACTTCTGGACCTCTCCGACACCCAGTTCGCGAATATCTACATGCTGGTTTCGTGCCTGAACGCGCCAAACCTTCAGACCTCCTCCTCGATTGGTTGGCTGACGTGCACAATGATCCCGCAGACTATGCAGAACTCGGGCCCCCCAGTCGATCCTGTATTGAGCGGGTCCCATATCGCGCACGGAGAATGTTTCCAAACTTCGAACAATCGCTTCCGAATCGGGGAAGCCAACAAATATTTCCGTGGTACCGAGGAGATGGGATTGCATCTCCATTTTGCCACGATTCATATTGCTGGTTCTGCACATCGTAAATACCACAGCGATTTAAGGTAAAATTGTTCCACTCACTTGTTTTCCGTTCGCTTCCTTGTTTTGAGCTCTACATAATGTTCCGGCCCAGGGTTTGTAGAGTAAGCCGCTGTTATGATAATGTGAGTCGAAGCGAGTTCCAGCTTACGTCTGGAGGTAACATACGTTTGACGCAGTCGACCTCGCCCACCAACAGAATATTCAGGGACCCCAATGTCCGGGTAATAACAGCATTCCATAGAGTGTGCAAGTCCACATCGGTTGCATCTGGCTTGCCGCCGGGGGTTGCGGTCGAGCAGATTGTCTCGAACCTATGCCTACAACACATCCGGTTAGCGGGTTGTTGCGCCCACACAACACACACCCCATGTATAGGGCTTCACTATTGTTGCTGAATTAATAGAAATGAGAAAGCGCTGATATCGTCTGGAAGGGAAAACTTACTCGAACTGAGCGCGTGTACTATCTTCTTCCAAATAGAGAACGCCGTTGTGGTACGAAACGTTCAAATCAATTTTCTCGCTCAACATGATCCTATTCCCGCGTACATATCATTTAGTACAGTGCTCGACGATCAATGGTGAATTGATACTTCTTCATAATGCCTCTCCAGGTAACAACCTCCGCCTTCAATAGTTCCTCGCTATTTTCAGAACAAAGGCACGTCGTGAAGACGTTGTCGAGACGTCTTGCACGTTTGAAAACACGCTCCTTGAACGGCAGCCTCATGAATCGGTCCAAGCCATCGCGCAAGTTGGCGTTCGGAGGAGGTTGTGTAAAATACCGCAGTGCAGCAGTGCTATCAACCTCCAGGCGTTCGTTGCATATCGAGAAGCAAGCTGATTGTGTAGCTGGTCCGAGCAACGCAGGAAGAGGGCATCGAGGAGGATCGGAGACACTGAGGAGACGAGTGGTGGGATTCTGAGACGACGTCATGAGTGTTTGAGCGATGAGCCGCGGGCGCTTAAGAGTGTTCCGAGTTGGAAAATGGTGGTGTTTGGGAAGAGTTAGATGGAATGTGGTTTCAGTTAAGATCTGGTATCAGTTCGCTGGTGGGAGTCGGAAGCAGAACGGTTTTGCTTGGTCTCGAATGTTACTGTTTGGCCAGGACCTTGATGCGTAACAACACCTCTTCTTGCTTTTCATCTCAACAAAGAATCTTGAATGCTACCAACTGTAGTGTATTTAAGACACGTTTTTCATCCTTCGTTCGAGGTAAGAAATCCAACGTTCTCCCGAGAAATACTTGGTCGTCGCAAGGATCGCGTCATATGACACGATTTCAAATACCGCCCTTCTGGAGCGCCCACACTGGCCCACACTGGATCCAATGGCATCCGCGAACTTCTCATCTGTCCCGGTCCTCGACTACTCCCAGACGAGCTCGTCAGCCCTGAAGCCCCAATTCATCAAGGAGCTGCAGCATGCCTTGATCAACGTCGGCTTCCTTTATCTCTCGAATGTGCCTGTCGAGACGGATGAGCTGGTGGCATACATTCCGCGGCTTTTCGCGCTGCCGCAGCAAGCCAAGGACAAGATCAGCATGGTGAATAGCAAGCACTTCCTCGGGTACAGCAAGTTGGGCGCGGAATTCACCAAGGGACGCACGGATTGGCGGGAGCAGATCGATATCGCCACTCCGCATGTCTGTCGCGCGGTGGAGGGGCGGGACGATCCTGATTACTGGAGCCTCTGGGGCCCGTCGCAGGTCGGCGCCCAAACTTATGAAACTCGCTATCTCTGACGCATTATCAGTGGCCAGACGAGGAGCTTCTCCCCGGATTCAAGCCCACGATGGAGCGATACCTGCTGGAGGTCCAAAAGCTCAGCTACGACTTCATCGGTCTGCTCGCGGAGGCATTCGGCTTGTCCTCCGACGCCCTCGCGCAATTCTACGACGGGGACGAACTCATGCAGCACCGGGCTAAAATCGTACAGTATCCCCAGACGGACGTGGGCAGCGAGGGCCAGGGCGTCGGCCCGCATTACGATGCGGGCTTTCTCACTTTCGTCCGTGTCCTACCCACTTTCATCTCGCGCTTTACTCATCCCGAATACGCAGCTGCTGCAGGCCTCGGGCCACAAGGGTCTGCAGGTGCAGAACCTGTCCGGGGACTGGATCGACGTCCCGCCCATCCCAGGGACGTTCGTCGTCAACATCGGGCGAGGTGCGTCCTGCCACTTGTCTCCACCCAAGTCTTATCCGCTCTTCCGCAGCCCTCGAATTCGCGACGCAGGGGCTGGCGCGGGCGACGTCCCACCGCGTGATCTCGCCTTCGGGCGGCACGGGCCCCCGTTACTCCATCCCATTCTTCCAAAACATTGGCCTCCACGTGAAGCTCGCGGAGCACGTTCTCGAGTGTGCGTTCCAAGCTCTTTGTAGGCCAGTGCATGGCTAATTGTAGCAGTCCCGCCGGAGATCCTAAAGTTGCGCGACGCGCGGGGCAGCGTCGGCGCCACCGATTGTGCGTGTGCTACATTATTCTCTGAAATGAAGACTTACGGAGGCTAGCCGTCAACTTCACGGAATTCGACCGCGAGCCCTCTGGCCGCGTCAACCTTATCGGTCGGGTCAAGTGCGTAGTGGCCATCTTTATACCGTACGCATAACCTGACGTTTTTTCTTTCTTTCTGGCAGGAGTCATCCGGACGTTGCAGAGCGGCATTACCCTGAGCTCTTCAAGCAGGTGTTCCCGAACGGGGTCCCTGCGCAAATCAGTGCCTACTGATGAAATGTAGCAATATTTTTGCACTGTATTTTGTATTTCTAAAATTCGAGAATGATCTCAAATCTGCGGGGATATGTAGTAGTACGAAGGGCAGCAGCGCTACAAACCCTGCAAAAAATCGGCCCACTGTGGGTCAGGGCCGTCCTGGAATAACGCTGGCATCCACGCGTCCGCGCTCGCCTGGAGGAACACGTCAGGATGAGTCCCTTCCAACGTACCGCCCGATTCAAATGGAGTCGCGTTGTATCCATCCACATAATCAGCCCCGTCCCATCTCACGCCGGTGTCGAACTCCGGGGAGAAGTACTGCACAAGCGACGGATCTGCAGCGGGCGAGGGGAAGGGCAGATGGTGAACTGCCTCCATATCCGGGGGTGGGGTGGCATACACCTCAGGCAGCACATTGTGCGTGGCGAGGATGGTCCGTGCGACGACGCGTGTGCGGCCGGCGAAAATATCAAGCGCCGCGTCGCTCTCCACGGCAACCTTCGAATGTTTGGCGTACGCCGTGGTAGCTTTGTCACGTAGCTTTTGCAGGATGGCCTGCGCGACGCGTCAATGAAAGGGACGTGGGATCAGTGTAATTTAAGACTTACCAAGGCGCTCCGCGCGCGGAAGGATGACGCGGCGCCGCGTTCGAACAGATCTGTCACCACGAAAAGTTCAAGGAGTGCCCGGGGCGCATACGTATTTTGCGGGCATTGCGCGGCGATGCCTCCGACGATGATCTGGTGCAGAAATGAGTTCAAGCCTTGAGGTCTTTCGTCTGGGAGACACGCACAGCGGCATTGAACACTGTAGGAATCGGCTCAGTCGCGGTAATAAATAAATAATATCCTCGCCACGTACGACTCTTCCAGATCGGCCACCAGC